CCTTCATGATATTGCTTATATGAAATGGTTGTTTGTATGGTTGCTATGTGGTGTATATGAAAGGGTTGTGTGTGTGAAAACTATTTCCACTTCTCGTATTTCAACTTATCTCTTCTGCCTCCAATGTTTCTTCTTTCCTTTTCTACAAAAAATTAACGAAACTATTGTCTTTTCCAAACCATTCATTGTCGTGCCCTATCATTGCAACACTTCAATGATCTTCTTTAGCAATCGATGCAACAAATATTTTTTCCCCTCATTTTCTCATGCCTAAAGTTTTTGGTTGTCGAGAAAGCTCTCTTTGTAGTTGTCTTCTCGACGCTTAGTACTTTTCCCATCTCCACCATAAATGAAGCAAAATCTTAATGTCATTACTTTAACAGACGTGAGTTGTTGGTTCCCATAATCTCCTAGTCAACTAAGTGTATTGTCCACAATACTTTGCGATTGGGGTACGATGTTCTCCATGGTGGTTCATTGGTGTTCACTAGTGGTGATTTGTTGATGTTGGTCCTTGGTGGTTCACCAATGATATTTAGTGGTTCGTCGTTATCTCCTTTGCACCTTTACATGGTCTCCCTCTAAAATGAGATGTGGTCATTTTAAAAAATGCTTTTTCTTTTCGGTTAAAGATATTAGATTAGTTGATCCATAATCGATCTAATATGAGTATATATTATATCAGTTGCACATCGATTTGATATATCTTTGACATGTTACATCAGTGTATATTAGATCGATTGGTTGCAAAATCAGATCTAATAATCATTATATTTTACAAATTATATTACATATAAATTGTGTGGTTGATGAATGTATCCTTAATATTATAAAAATCCTAAATTGGCTTCTATATAATTTTATTTGATTAAGTGTTTGTCATTTGTTCTTTATTTACGATGTAATGTATATGTTATATTTAACTAACATTAGTATAATTCCTATATGAGTAAGGAATGATTATGATAAGAAAATTCATCATAACAAAATAAACTTTAAGTGAAATTTAGAAATAAATTTAAGCAAATTGATGCAAATGCAAAATATAAGTCTATTAGAACTTTTTTTCTTCTATTTTTTTATGTTTAAGGTTGTTAAACATGAATTAAGAAATGCTTAATAAATAAAAATTTGGTTTGAAGAACTCTTCTTAAAATATTTTCTTTCATGTTTTATTTTTTTATTAAACAATTCATGTTTAAAATTTCAAAGTAAAATTAATTATTTTTTTGATGCATAGAACACATCAATGTCATTTGTCTAATTCTTAACCTATCAAGATCTTTAAATGCTCCTATTCTCTTTGAAACTCTCTTCTTAAAAGTAATGTAGACGACAGCTGTAGTTATAAAGTTACTTTAATGTTTAAATGAACAAAAAAGAATATAAGTAGAAAAATGGGAAGAATTATAATGTGCCATATTAATATTTGTTGGCAAAGGAAAATCCTATCCTTATAATAAGATAACTTATATCTTTAATAAAATTAGAAATGTAAGAATTTTTTTATACACGTTTGAGTGAAAATCTTTGAAATAATGAATTACGGTCTACATACAAATCTATCAATGTGATTGATTTGTTATTAGATAAATACTAATAAAGAATGAAATATCCGAGAAATGATCAAAAGACATCATAAAGTTTATGTCTTAGTTTCTCAACTTTAATTAATGATGTTACTGCTCTTTTTGAAATTGATCGTATGATGCAAGTTGGTGAGTACGTAAGGGTTAAAGCACTATAATATACATATACTTTTTTTTTTGTTGTAGTAATATTTATCTTTGTCTGAAAAAATAAATAAAAGAAAACTAAATTTAGTATAAAAGATCATGTTAGTTGTTCAAAGATATTGCAAATTCAGTGTGATACTAAAATATGAAAACCTAAAAGCTGGCATGACGCATGATAAGGTTGAATGGGTGGATTTGTGGATGAAATTCGTAGAATGTAACACTGATCATGGAGGATATATCTGTATCATACTTTAGAAGGTGTGGCAAGTATCTTTCATCAAAGTCTACAGTGGAATAAATTGATGTGTATAGTTTTTCTTCATTTATTTAATATTATTCTCTCTTATTATATTAACATGCTAGTTTAAATTTAATATATTTTTACAAAATTAATTAGTAAAATAAAAATTAATTTTATTTATATGTTTTAATTTGTTTCCATTTTTAATTAATACAATAATATTAATAATAATAATAACAGTATTTTTTCTTTTATTATCTATATATTATAGGAGATTATCTTTCTTGATGTTTTCATTTGTTCCATTTATATTCTTTTAAATATTTTTTTAAAATTAATATAATTATTTCACTGCATTTAAGTAATTGTTTTTTAAATTTAATTATTTTTTTATTTGAATATTTTTATTTTAAATTTAACTATTTTTTATTTAACACTTGTATTATTAAAGTTCTTCCGTTTTAAGTTATAAACAATAGAAAATTAGTTAGCATGTAATATATTACATCTTAAATATCCTTTTTATCGACAACAATAAATATATTAGATAGAAATAATTTATAAAATAATATGTACAAAATAAAATTAAAAAGTAAAAGACGGTATAATATAACTTCTTTACACTAAAATTGACCCATATGTCTAATCTCTCATATCCTAACTCATTTAGGTAGGATATATGTTTATCTGTCCCACCTCTTCTTTTTGAGGATGTGAATTTACTTTTTTTCTCACTGAATTTTAGAAAAGTTAACTTTAGAAAACATTGAACAAATGCAACTTTTGGTTCCATCTACAGATTCTTTATGTCAACGACTTAATGTATTGATCCAAGTTTTATTATTTGTATAAGAGAAATATGATATTTTGTGAGAAATATATGTGAAACCAATTATATTATATATACATCAACTTTATTTAATTAGACTCGTTTATTCATTTGTGAAAGTATACGAGTTTTACTTTATAGTAAAGATATTGCATGAGATTTTCTTATGTTTTTAGATGGAAAGAAGTTGAACTATACATAGATCACTAGCTGATCACTCTGTTAAGAAGATAATGACTATCATTAAGAATGACTATCATTTTCAATCAATTTTGACCGTCAAAATCAATCTCAATTGTCCACTATTAATTGAATAAAAAGTTGATGTCTTTAAACCAAAAAATAATCAAATGGTTCTCTCAATAATCAATATACACACACATACAAAGTTATGCATTAGATTTTATATTGTTAATATATCTGGAGTATATACAGGAAACTAATTGAAAGGGAATTTCTTTTGGGAACGTTCAAAAACTCAACGTTTGTATGTTTGTCTTCACTGTACGAAAAGGAAAATTTGTTTTGAATCACTTTTTTATAATTTTTTTACCTTGTAATTGGTTCAAATATACGGACTAATGAAATAATAACACATATATTATAAAAAATGTTAAAAAAAATTGTTAAAATATTATGATCCGAAAATAAATTATTATAATGGTGTTTAACATAAACATTTATAATTTTTTTTAAATTGTTAAAATTAATTTCAATTATTATTATTATCCGTACACTCTTGCAGTAAATAATTCATCTTAATTGATACATTCGTTTTTCTTGGTTAAAAAAATAAAATTAAGAGCACATTTTAACGGCATTTTCTATAACTATAAATACTTTTTTAGAATATCTTTTTTATAAGTTAAAATTATCTTATTCAACAAGTTTATATATATAAATATATATATATATACGAAATAATGTTTACAGATTAGTTTAAAAAAGTGATCTAAACATTTATTTAAAAATCAGAAAACAGTTAAAGTTTCTATTTACATTATTCAACACTCTTATCTTTTAATTTGACAAACTCATTTTTAAAGTGCATGGATTAAAATATAAATTTTCATTAGAACAATCCAAATATGTAACCACTTAAAACACAAGTTTTAAATCAATAAACATGGATTAATACGAGATTATTATTATTATTATTTTCAGAAAAAGAAAGTAAAGTAATTCCATCCCTTATGATTAACAGGGTTGTTCACATGTGGGGGGTCCTCTATGACCTCATTGCTAAAATTTTGGCCACACCTCTCTTTTTCTTCTTTAATAACTTTTTCTATGGCAACTTTCTTTATTTTCTCTTCCCTTTTTCTCATATAATATTTTATTTTATTTTATTTTATTTTATTTTTCTCATAATAATTCATAAGGTATCAACATTACCAAACGGAGAGCTTATCAATAATTTCCTTTTGGACAGGGCAGAAGGCATGATGAACCAAATATCTTTGTCCACTTCAAGTCATAGTCAAATCAACGATTCAAAACACCACTTGACGATTATCCACATCCAAAAGACACAAAAAGAAGAAACAACGTTATATAAAACATTAATTCCATCATTGACCCATAACTATACCTTATATTTACATCACATACATGCACACACATACATTTAACATATATATATATATATATATATATATATATATATATATATATATATATATATATATATATATATATTTCTTGAAGATTCCCATCATAAAGACTTAAATAATTGTCACTCACCATTCTCCTTAATTTAGACACTAATCAATCTCTTACAATGTAATTACAAAAGCTATACCTAAGACAAAACAAAGTGGCAACGACACCAAAAAGTAGAGAGACCCTCAAAATCTCTCTACGTTCCTCTTCCAACAACGTGGGGTTTCTCGAAACTACCACATGCATGTGTGTGTATATATGGATATAATAATTCCATAGTGCAATAAAAGAAAATATAAAAGTTGACGAAATTAGAAAAGCTTAACATTTCTGACTTTAACACATGCACCCAACACAAATTTGTGGTGGGGGTATATAGTATATTAGGAAGAAGAGCTTAATTTATTATACAGTGAGATGCTAAACGACGTCGTACGTACTACTCAATGTGATGATATTCATATACACATAATGACACAGTCTAATTTTGTTCATGTTGTTGTTACATTTTAGTTTACGAGTGACACTGCTACTGTTGTGAAATCATGGTGGCTAAAATTTGATAAAGATTTGAGAGTGTAGCCATAAGGGTCACGGATTCGGATCTAAGACGTTCATTCTCCAAGGAGAGAAGAAGATTCTGGTGCATGGTTAAGCATAACCGGTTTTTTAGTTCTCGGTTTTCCATTCTGAGCCGGTTCGCTTGGTTCGTGAGGTTCTCTAAATGCCGCTTCTTTCTCCACCGGGACCGCTGGGCTGACTCCCGGTTCGACTGCATTCGCCGGAGCTTTCTCTCGTGCGTGGACCGGACCACCCGGTTCGATTCCTGAGAACCGGACCCCGGGCTGAGCGGTTCGTTAACGAGGGAGAATAGCTCCTCTATTTCGGTCGGCGTGAACATGATTTCGAGAACCGGTTGGGCTTCTTCGTGGAAGAACATTGTCGTTGGTAGTTGCAACGCGAGAAGAAGAAGGAGAGGAGTGAACCGGTTGTGTCGGAAAAAACGAACCGGAGAGAGGAAAGAAGGGGAAAAGGGAAGAAGTGAAGCTTAGGGGCTGGGTATTTAAGGAGGAAAAAGGCTGCAAAACGTTCCAACATGTGGGGCCATAAAGCTATGTGCGCATTTTCCCCCAAAGAAAAGAAAAAGTAGGGTAACGCATATTATAGGTATTTTCGTTTTTACACTTTAAAAATTACTTCTTTTACACACCCACACAAAAAAATTAGTTATTATATTTAATTTAACCTTTTCTTTAAACGATCTCCTTTCCACTATAATCTGATAATCATATTTAAGTTAAAGCTAATGTGAAAGAGAGATTTATTAAATCTCTGTCAACAGTTCAACAATTGATGGTTTTCATTACTATATATTCCCTTGAATACCTAATATTGTATTATGATTTTTGATGATTCCAATGATTAACACGATTAATGATTTTGTATATGACTTCAAGAATAAGAACGAGGAAACAAATATATATTTTATATAAATTGAATTTTTTTCCATCTTTTACGTATTTGGTTTTTGTTTTACGATTGATGAGGAATCTATAAAAAAATGTATCTCCTAGTAAGTGGTGAGGATATTCTTCCGTGATGCGCAGTAGAAAGATAACATATTGTTGCTTTTGAGAGAGTGTTAATTCTTAATTTCGTGTAGTGGATTAGTTTTTGGACAACATAACGAATGATAAGATAAGAAATTAATACATAAACTAATTAAAACTAAGTTTGACCCATCTTAAGAAATTAAAAAACGCATTTTGTTAATTAATGAATGAAGTGGGTTTCAAAGTTTGAGATGAAGTGTTGAATTGCATGGAAACTTTAAAAGGGTAAACAGTGTGGTGGTGGGGATTGATTTGAGGATGAATAATGACCCATCTTTTGTTTCTTTGTGTATTTTTATTTTTATATATATATGCTTTTGGTTATGGTAAAATAATTAATGGGGTCCTCATGAAAATTTTGCTTTAGCTTAATGACGAAGGATCAACCAAAAACGCATATGCAACGAATTGGATTAGAAAGTTACCAGACAGAGGCACTGCGCCGAAGTCATTTTGGACACGCACATGCATGGAAGGTGCAAAAGGAAGTGAAAGAAAGGTTCCTCCATGAATAATGTTATTAATTTTTCTACCAACAAAACAAAATTTAATTAATTAGTATCGTCAAGATGGACTAATTAGGGTTTAGTACGTGGAAAATTATTGCCACATATATAGCCATTCTTCTTGTGGCTATGAATTTCTTCTTTTCCTCTCCCACCCTAATGCACCCACGTCGTTCATCAAAGCCTACAACAATCACCAATTTCAACGTAGCCACAAGCACAAATAAAAAAAAAAATCCACTAGTCTCATCGTTGTCGCATTACACAATGAATTTGTCACAATTTGGTGATCAATTTATTCTCTTTGTCAAAAGGGTTTGTGTTATAGATTAGACTCCATTTATATATATGAATTATCCAACATAACTAAAGAGAAAGATTTATAATACAAACAAATACATAATACATAAAGTTTTACTAGCTATTAGGTTATTTGTGGAATATCAAAAGCTTTTGTATCATGACCAACTTTAACTTAGTTTTGTCAAAACAAAACACTGTACCATCCGCGACCATACAGTAATTCCAAATGCAATTTGGAAGATGGAGATAGCTATCAAAGCTCATTGATTGCTTTGTTTTTACTCTTTTCGTTGATTTTAATTGCAGATACCAAGTATCTTGAAGAATTTTATTTGCTTTGTCTACTATTTCACTAGCTATAGTTGATGTGGTAAAGTATATAAATATTGATGGATGTCGTTATATACAGCATAGTGTACACCAATCTTTCCATAGTTTTTACGTGAAGCATGGAAAAAAAATCTAAATGAGAGATTTCTTATGACTTCCGTCCACATTACGGTATCCCTTATTGCATTGTTATTCATCTTCATGGGACATGCATGACTATCTCACTATCAGGAAGACTTTCTATACAAAAATTTGTTTGAGTTAATTCATCAGCTCTAATATCATTGAGGGATCTTGCGATGTAAGATCACTAGGAAGATATAACATCAATGAAACATGAGATCAACCCATATAAGAGTTTGATATCACCTTCAACTAAAAATCTTATGACAATGATTTATGAAATTTTTTCGTTAGATGGTGTTCAACTTTCTTACTTTTACACGACATGTAACTTAGGCTCACATTTGGGTTTTCATCACTTAAGAGTCATGGTCAAGTACAATGTAACTTTCCTCTTTCAACCATTTGAAGTGTCTTTTAAAAACAAAACCATGAGAGAAATTTTATACTCCAAAATATACAATATCATGACAAAAGTATCAAACTTCAAAGTAAATAATATCTCGAATGCGGTAACTAACCTTAACAAGGTTATCTCAACGAACTTAAAATCAAAATACATATCAAATAGAGATAAAATCAATTTGTAATTTATAAGTAAGACAATCATAACACTCATTTTTTAATATAGTATCAGAGTTATCCTAACAAAAAATTATATAACTTATCATACCGTTATTAGACTATCCACAAATATTTAGTTTTAAATAAGTTAAACTTAAATCCACTTTTATTAAAAGAAATTGGAAAAGATAAAATAGAAATAAAAACGAAGGGAATATTCTTGGGCAGTTTTGATTCTATAGCTAACTAGGGACAGGTTTTGGTTTGGTTGGAAGTTGGTTCCCTTGAAGAATGAGGAAAATATTAAAGGGGTTGTGAGTGGAAGATAACATGCGACCCTTTCTATGCCGTTTCAGTGTAATATGACTAATTTAAAGAAGCAAAAGGAAGAGAATTTAGCAACCTCGTCTTTTAGCAAGCCAAAGTGGTTTGCATGCATGTGCTCGAGTAAATTTTAATGCAAAGAAGGCCAATGCACTCTCCTTTATTTCATTCATCACCAAACCAATGCACTTTGTTTTCTTTCCTTTTATGAGGCGTGGAAAGAAGTAACCATAATACACTTAAAAAACTCTTTTAAGACATTCTTTAAAATCATTGCTTTACATTTCTTAAAAACAACTATAAAAATTCTCAATCATTGAGTAAGAGTTTAGGACAAAAACAACATATTAGGGCTTTTAATATAAAAGCACATTCCATTGCCAACTAAATGTGCAAACATCAATCAGAGTTTTGAAATTTGTAATTAATTAATTGACATAAACTAAAATGAAATCAGTTTTCCTTTTTCTTGAAAATATCAAATAATTTATTTTGAACCTTCTAATTGCACCTCTTATCTGAGAAAATGAAAAATGTAATTGTGAGAAAAAAAATTTGCAGCCAATAAGTTTATTGATGAAATGTTAATATGGAATAATCATAGATATTAATATGAATAATATTAATATGGAATAGTAAATGTTTTGGGATGTCAACTTTATAAGTTGTGGTAAGTTGTTCATAGTGAAATTCAACATTTTCTATTAGTAAGGTTGACACGAGCTGAGTCAAACCAAAAGTTAAAACAGACAATGAATGAATAATTTTTAAACAACTCAGACTAAAATTCAACTTTTTTTGACCAATAAGTTCACAGTCCAAACTCGATTGGTTAATCCAGATCAAAATTCGACCGAATTCAGCTAAGTCAACTCCAATTGAAAATTGTCTGAATTCATCCATAACCACAACAGAAAATTGGTCAAATTAAACCGAAACTGCTACGACCAAAACTCGATCAAGTCAATTCCAAAAAAAAATCGATTAAATTCAACCAAGTCAACTCCGATCGAAATTCAACCGAGTCAACTCCAACCAAAATTTGACCTAAACATCAACTATTGAAACTCGATTAAGTAGATCTTAACCCAAATTCAACCAAGTCGACTCTTAAAAAAAAACGAACCCAATTTGACCAAGTCAATGAGTAATTAACTAAACTACAACTTTAAAAGTTTTGTTTTTTAAAACTAATCTATAAAATAGTACAATTCAATTTTTAATTTAAACAGTTAAAATTTTTTAGTATAATATAATACAATTAATTAGTAATTCAATGCACTTCAATTAATTTTTCTCATTCTTAATTTTAGGGATTCAAACCGAGTTTAACATAATGAACACATATTCTATTATAACATTATTCTCCATGTCTGAGCCACGAGCCCAATCATCGTGCCATCCACAGCATACATGCAGCATCCACCATAACCATTGCCAGGTTGATTAGTTTGTTCCACCATCATAATTCTTCTCAAATACACAAGTATCTCATGGAGTTTTCACTCTCCTAATCCAACCTCAAGTTTCTTAAGGAATGGCATCCCATTGTTCGTTGAAATTAATATTTCCTTAGCTTTTGACTTTACATTGGTTTTCGGCAGATTTTTAAGAGTGCGCAGCGTCACTCATGATTAGAGGTGTCATTTGAGCCCCTAGCCCCTAACCCCTTCTAAAATCAAGCCCCAATTTTCTAACCCCCTTAATAGGGGGCTTTTTAAAAGCCCCAACCCCTAAAGCCCCACTTAAAGTGGGCTGGTGTAGGGTTAGGATGGGGCTAGCCCCCAAACTAAATTAATTCACTTTTATTTTTTTTTTAGTTATTTCTTTTATTTACTTTACAAGTTCAATAATTTTCAAAATTTACATGATATTTAATATCTTTTTAATTAAATATAAATGTATAAATATTGATTTTATTAAAACTTATTTAAAATGATTTTTTAATTATAAGTATATTTTAAATATATAATTTTATTATTTTGGAAAGTTAAAAAAGAAAATTTTTATTATTATTTTTATTTAAAAGAAAATGAAAAATATTTCAAAAAATAAATTATAAAAGTAACAGTTGAAAATTCGATTTTTCAATAATCGAATTCTAATATCTATATAAATATTTGAAATATTAATTATGGATAGATTTTAAATTCAAATCTACTGATTGGATAAATTTTTAATATCGGTGTAAAATTTTTATTTTTTATAGTTTGTCATATAAAATTCTTTTGTTGAATGTTTTGTATAGATATATATACATTAAAAAATTAAACCACAAACTTTGTAAAGTTTAAAATTAATTTCACGTAATAAAAGAACTAACTTTTTAGTGAAAATCCTTGTTAGGCAAAATTCTTATAAATATCATATATGTTAGTATACAAGATCTAGATGTAATCCTAGTGGTTATAAAATAATATTTTTTTTCTAACCTTTTAGATTAAATTAATATTTTAAAATCATACTTATCTTTATCCAACAAAGATCGTTTTTATTGAATTATTTATCATAATTGAGCCGATTGTAATAAAAAATAATTAAATAATAGATACAATATTTTTAAATAAATATAATGTTATAATTTATAATACTAAAATTAAAATTATTATTGTATTTAATTATTAACATATAAAATAAATAAAAATTATAAAAATTATAATAATAAATAAATTACATCAATGTCTCTTAATAAGAAACTAATAAAAAAGACAAATGAATATAATATAAAATATATGAAAAAGACATAAAAATATATAAATTGATGTAAATGACTAAATAATACGTTTCATAAATTTTTTTTTAAAAGAATTATATAACTTTGTAAATAATAAATATTAATTTTATTAAATTTGGAAAATTTAAAAAGTTAAAAAGTTATTAAGTCAAAATTTTAACATGTTTTACACCAATTAAAAATAATGTAATTTTGATCACAAATCTTAATCGAATGATATTGATTTAAACTAGTGATAAAATAGATTACCATCTATAAATAAATTCGTTAGTCCATCAAAATTTTACATATTAAATTAAATTTTTTAACTTTTAAACCTATTTTATGTGGATATCTCTGAACCGTCAAATTTACAAACCAAAATTAAGATGAAAAAATTATCAAAACAAAATTTGGAAATTAAGGAATAATTGTATAAAAGCATTATTATTAAACTAATTAATATAGAAACAGTTATGAAGTAGAAAATTAATTTTATTGGTAAAAAATATAATTATACATGAATCAATTATGGTTATAAGTTATTACTAACAAAGATAAAATGAAAGCTGGATAAAAAATACATATGATTTGTGATTACTTGTATGATGATATTATGTTTTTAGACGTTAAATTTTGTAAAAAGGAAAGCCCACGGGCTGGCCCTGGCCTATAGGGCTTTAGGGGTTTTTAGCCCTGTGGGCTTTTTTAATAAAGAGTTTTTTTGGCCCTGTGGGCTTTTTTGGCCCCAACCCACATGGGCTAGGGCCAAATCTTATTAAAGGGGCTCATTTGACAGCTCTACTCATGATGAACCTTTCGCCTTTTGTTAACTCACGTATACTTTCAAAATAGTTCATTCCTTCTTTCCACATATCCACATTTCAGGATGGTACGATAACATACAAGGTCAGGAACTATACCAAAAGTTGATAGCTCCTCGTAAACCCTCTTGGCTTCATCAACCTAGCTTTTGTGAAAGCGTGGAGTAAAATATTAAAATGGACACAAGATGGTGGAATGCCTTTCCTATGTATAGCATGTAAGGTTTTCTCCAGGTTTACAAATTAGATATTTTCTGTTTCGATAAGAACTCGAGCATTGGCCTATACGTTGATCATGATATTGCAACTGACCTGTATTCCCAAGCAAAGGCAAATAATTAGTACTAAAGCGTTATTCAACAATTACAAACTAAATGATGCCAGAAATGCAAAATATTTGATGTTTGTCCTATGTAGGAAATATGATAATGCAGAACCAATGAACTACAAATAACCATTACCAGGATCTGACTAAAATTCACATAAATTATACATAATCCTAAAACCGAAGTTTCTTTAGAGCAGTATAGAAGTTAATGAGCAAAGAGATCATAAACATGAAATAAATAAAAAAATGACAAGAACTGGAGATTTTGGGATGAAAATGTGGTAAAACAAAATCAAATTCACCTTTCGAGGTTCTATACCTTCTTCCTGCATTACACTGACTCCGAAGCATCGAGCATCATACCTACAAAATAAAATTATTACAATTGCAAAATTCTAGGAAAACTGCGCATGAGAAAGAAAACAAATTAATAATCATACAGATTTGATAATATCGATGTGCTAATCTCATGTCATATCGAAAAATACATTCATATCAAATACTAATGAAGAAAAATTGGCATATGAATTCCAGCCGGATACAATGTTGAATTATAATTATAACAGTTCATCTAGGTTAAGGTAAAAAGACACAATATCAGTTTTCCCCTAGTAGCCACTCAAATTCGTGTATGATTTTTCATCCAGCTAAACACCAAGTGAGCTAGCTTTGTTGACTATCTCCACTGCTCTATCCAACTTTCGATCTTGTTAATAGACACTACTGTATCATCAGTTTAACATTGTCTTAAAAACAGTAACCAAAAGATAGATATGAAATTGATATTACATAACAAATAACCTATCAAAACTATAACCTTATCATTGTGCTGGATGTTTCAACTGATGGAACAACACCAGAGGAATTTTTTAAATAAAATATACTGGACGCAAAATTCAATTTGCCTGCAAACCTCCTGTTTCATTATATCTATCCTGTTCATGCAAGATACTTAATATTGATTTGCTTCAAGCATGACTTTGATGAAGGTATTGTAAGCAGCGGTGTCAAGCTCCAAGTTTTCTTTAAGACTCTGTATAAAATTCTCAGCCTACAGACATTTTCCTAGAAAAGAGTTACACAAAATTATCTACCATATGTAAATAACCACAAGTTAAAATGGTTGTCACTTCCACATTTTCTGAAAACAACATATTCATATGATTTTTCACAATTCCATGCGTACACAGCTTAAAAATAAAGTCTAATTCTCAAATAATAGCATAGCTAGCAGATTACCACAAAGCTGCTCACACGTAACAAAACCGGCAAAACTGATCCCACAAGACTGGCCCAAGGACCTAGGGCACACCAAACACACTCTAAATATGGCTAACAAATGAATTCCATCAAGAAAAAGCTACAGAACAACGTAAACAAATAAAGACTGAGCTTGCAGCACACATAACAAATATATTAGATGAAATAGCATCATGCACCCTACTTGATCTTGACCACATTCCACATCAAGCATCTCCAAGAAGATCTCTTCAGTCTGTTTTATCTTTCCAACTTGCCCATATAAGCGCTCACTATTCAGTAGAAAATTACACTTGGTCTGTAGCTGAGCTCCTGAGGCACCAAACTATAAATACACTGTATCAATCTCTATATTTTAGAGGAAAACAACAATATAAAGTGAAATATTCATGCCATAAAATACACCCTCTAGGTTCACCAATATTTTCTTAATAATCAATACCTTATTTTGCAGATTTTTTAAAGAAAATATTTAATACCACTCTTTATACTTACCTATTGAGTCATTTCTCAAATTTAGTCTCCACTGCCGATATATTTTGTTTTGTCAAATTTGGTTTTCACAATTTTAATCTTCTATTTTTTGTTTATCTGTTAACTTATAACCAATATTTAATGCAAAAGTTGATGTAGCAGTAGAATGATAAGGTGGGTGTGTTGTATAATGTCACATCAGCTTTTACTTTAAATCTGGAAGTCAACTTATCATGTTGATTGAAATTGCACTACTAAAATAATGGTTGACCAAATTCCAAGAACGTGAACCAAATTCGACCAAATGAAACATCAGCAACCCCAAACAGACAATTTGAAATCTACTTCCAATGAAAATCAAAAGTAACCCTCAAAATATTATGCATTAAGGTAAACAATTGCATGCTCCAAAGAGTTTGATTTTACATCAAGGAATACAATCCTCAAAAATGAAACAATTATCTATCTCTATTGAAATTGGAACACACTCTGACCTCATGAGTTTTCAAATTTTCGATAAGTTTGGGCAATCTCTCCAACATCCATCTCAAGATCATCCCCAAGTAAAGGATCCTCATAGTCCAAGGTACCAGTTTGATCAATCTTCACATGCAACTCCCTCAATTCAGAATCACACTGGTCCGAAACCAAATCATCAAAACATTCCGCATCAGACCCCTCACTAGAAACCTCCAACTTCTTCTTCCTCCCTCTGTAACCCACAAGCCCTAGAACCTTCTCCTTCCACAGCACCAAGGGACATTTCTCAATGAGCTCAGAACCCTCATAAGCCTCAGTCAAAAACACGCTAAACCTCTTCCCCCTCTCTGACACATAGAAGATCCCACAATGCTTCAATAGAAGCCTCATCAATTTCTGAGGCATCACAAGCTCCCAACGAAAGTGAGTAAGGTGATCAGTGACCAACCTCTTCTCAATAGTGAAATTAAGCAATTCATGCATAACAGCAACAGCCCTTTTATCAAACTCCAAAGAACCAGCCTTAAGTCCACGGGCATCTGCATAGGGAGACAAATAAGACATCTCCTGAAAATGCTGAATCTTTTCAGCATAGTACCGATATACCCTCTTATAATTTGAAGGAAACTTCAAAGGGAATGGAAGTGAAAGCATGCCAGGGAATTCACTTTCACTTCCACTTCCAGCAGCTCCTCTCACCGCCTTTTTCTCCAACTCAGTAATTGCCCATTCAGGATTCCAAGACACAAGCTCCAAAAACTCAATCCCATCAAGTGTTTTCACCACCTTAAAATGTTGAGGATACTTGTGCACCCAATGGACTCTAAAATCCAAGGACAACCCAAAATCTCTTCTAAAGTGAGCAATCTTCTCCAACGGAAGGCGTTTCTCCACTGACATCATGAGAAACCTTGTAACGTATTCTGCAGCCTTGTCAGCATGGTCCTCGATGACCCTTTGTTGTTGTTCCATCAAGTCCTCAGCTTTTGGGGTCATGCCACACCATAGGACCCCCTTTTGGTCCTTGTAGAGTTCAAAGAGTTTGGGGGTTTTGCGGAGGAAATCAGAGATTCGGTGGGGCCTAGGGAGGTTGATTTGCCTGCGGTGATTCTCTAGGGAGCGAACAGGAATAACCATTTCGGGTTCTTGCTTCAAAAGCTCCATTAAGTAAATGATTTTGGAGACTATCTTCCATTTCTCAGTTACAACTTCAAGGTCGTGAACCCTCTTCTTCTTGCTCCTATCTTGGACCCTCCTGCTACTCGTCATCCATCGGATCAGAAACTCACCGTTGTAACAGTAACGATCCCTTGTTCTTCCTAACCACCGATTACACATCACCATCACTAATCCAACTTACTTCCCAACGTTACTGTCTGCAATTCCATAGAGCACCATCTAGCATAAGTTCAATTACCCAATAATCAACAAAAAGAAACAATACTAAAAACATACTGCATTACACATAGTGAAAAAAAGGTGTTTATGGTGTATCCTTGTAGGATTGAAAAGTTTTGTAGTTGAGCCAGGTAAAGTGTCATAATAATTTGATGTCAAATACCGGGTCTATATCAGGAACAATTTCGGCATTCTCTACTTGGAAGGTTGTTCTGTCTAAGAGCATGTGAGAAGGGAAAAAAGAATTTTAGTTTAAAACCAAATAAATTGAAACTTTCGTCATATTTCCAAAAACCAATTAGCAGAAGTACAGTTTATATTTATGAAAGATCGATCAAATACCTTTAAACTAAACTTGAATAGCTTTTACATTATTGATTTTAGTTGAGATCGTCAGACTCTAAAAAGACACAGTACGAAGCGGTTGCAGAGCAAAGACAAAATCATTCAAAGACAACTTGTAAAGTTCATTATGCAACCACCATATTCTTATTATCGCCTCCATCATAACACAGAACCAGCCAAAAGATTAGAAAAAAATGAAGCAAAAAGCAGTCAGAAAAAGAAAGAAGCAAAGAACAAAATCCTAAACCCCAATCCTAGAACCAAACATAAAAACGAAGTAATAAAACACTATGACAATCATGGTTAGCAAGCTCCACTGTTAACATGTGAGAACGTACGAGTTTACGTTAACACACCGGTTTCCCGAGTTGAGTCGTAAGCAGACTCGTTTTTGGAGCAAAATCGATAGGCTCGTCATTAACTCGGTAAGCTCGGCCAAAATGACAAGCTTTCAATCGAGTTGGCGAGTTCAGCGGGGCATTTTTTTAAAACAGAAACGACACCATTGATTGTCGTTTCGTGTATGGAAATAAATAAAAACTCACCGCGATTAGGTTCCTTCTTGTCTTCCCCCTCTCCTCGCGGATGGCTCTCTCTGTTCGTTAGGCACTGTCGTTCTCTCTATTCGCCATGCCGTCGTTGTTGCCGCAATTCGTGACGTCGTTGTCATTCCGGTAATTGGCGTGGTGGTGCGCGGTGGTTCTCTCCTCAGGTCACGACATCATTGCTGTTCCAACCGTCACAATTGTTCGTGCTATAATTTTTTACTCCACTAATTTTCAGTTTCTATTGAATATTATGCATTTTATGTCTTTTTTTCATGTTATAAGCACAATTTAACTCAAACTCCAATTAAATTATAAATTATAATAAACTATATTTTTCAACGCCCATTGAATTAAATTCATAAATTTTTTAACCTAAATTCAAAATACACACTTATTACCAACTTCTTCTACCAGAAAATGCAGGCAATGGTGAATGAGGCAGCTTATATCCATTACTTTTTCTTCTCTTTTTTTCTTTAAACATGTAATAGAAGATATTAAGGTCAAAATGTTATCATTTTAAAATGTCATAAAAGATAAAATAGGAAAATTATTTTGTATACAGAAAAGATAATAAATATATGTGTTTTTACTAGTAATAAATATAAAATATTATAATCTTAGTTAAATTAAATCATTTTTAGTCTTAAATTTAGGTGGAACCTTTCTATAAATGTATCGGTTAATTTATTTAATAAAATATTAATTATATTTTTAATATCACAATAATGTTATTTTATTAAAACAAATGCATGTTTTATAATTTATATTTCAAAAATTGATTTCATTACTATCATTTACCTTTTACATATACATATTTATTTTTTATTTAAAATTATTATATTTCTTTCTTCTTACGTATGTTAAAGCAGTTCAAAATTATCTATTCAGTAATTAACATTGGCCTCAATTACAACTAGAATATAGGAGTAAACAAAGCGGTATTTTAAAATGTTGAAATTCAGAACAAAACATTACAAACTGACATGGGAGTTGTTTCACTCAACCTGGATTTTTTATTTATTACCACAGTTTCATTTTTTTTTATATTGTTTTCTATATTTAAATGTACAGTTTTCAATTTAGATCAAAATTTGATTATCAGAAAGTCGAATTCTAACCTTCACTTTGGGTAATGGTATACCATTCCCGAAAAACTGAATCAATGAGTTGGTTCTTTAATTTTTATTAAAATAAAAGAAAAGGAAAGAAAGAAATTATATCTTTCTTAACGAGGAAATATTTATTTATGCTTGAATTTTGTTAAGTTATACTTTTTAAATAATTTTTTAATTTTTATTTATCAGATAATAGGAAATGGAAATAAAAATTAAGAAATGAAAAATACATAAGTATATGAAACAAATAAAAATTTAAATATGAAAAAAGTAAAAATAAATGTATAAGTATATTGAATAGAATTTAAATACGAAAGAAATAAAAACTAAATATATAAATATTTAATAAAATTCAAATATGAAAGAAACAAAAAATAAATGTATAAGTATAATTAATAGAATTCAAATATAAAAAACTAAAAAATAAATGTATAAGTATATTTAATAGAATTTGAATATGAAATAACTAAAACCAGAGTTAAAAGATAGAAATTATATAAAAAAAAAGAATAAAAAATTGTGAAATGTAAGTAGAAACTGTAGTAAAAATTATGAAATTAGAAATTACTGTTAATAAATAAGTAGTGCTTTATTATTAAAAAAATGGAAATAAAATTTTTAATATGTAAAACAATATATCTAATATTAAATTGTTAATAATTTAATTGTATTATGTCAGATCTCGTTAAACGCACCCAGAATCCCTCCTGTCACGATCATTAAAACGCACTCAAAACCCCTCTGAACGGACGCTAGGTGTCAAGCAACGAGGATTCGAAAATCAGATAGTGGAATGCAGGTGTCAGCAGATGAGCGAACGTTCGTCTTAAGCAAAAATGAGTTTTTAGAAAATCACGTCCCACTCTCTGCATGCATCTTCTCCTCCAAACTCTGATCTTTTCAAATTCTCCCCCTTCTCACTAGAAAACTCTCCATTCTCTCTAAGAAATCTTACCCTTTCTTTTCTCCGATCACCATTTAGGCACCGTAGAAGCGTTTCCAGCGTCTTAAGCTTCATTCTGAACCGAACAGTTCCGAGTTCTGAACTGGTAAGTTTTCTCGCCTTTAGTCGTTCGTTTCCTGGCACATGCAAACCAACTCCTGGTTGCATGAGCTCATAGTATCATTCTGAACCAGTTTGTCTGTCGTTTGTTTTGGTTTAAAGAGTTGATTGAACGTTGAGGGTAGAAGAATTCTAGTCAAACAAACCGCATCTTATATCTTGTACGCTCGTTCACACTAGAGGTAAGGGAAGCTTATTAATTTAATTTATATGACTATGTGTTGCATGAACGTTCGTTGACTTGATTGGATATGAAAAATGATTGTGTTATGTTATGATGCATGAAATGTATGAAAATTCTATGATTCGATGGTATGAGATATGAAAAATTGTTTATGGTATGAATGTAGAAAGATGTGAACTATATGTTAAGAACTGAATTTGAATAATATTGATTCTGGTAAGAAATTTCCCCTAAAAGTGTACGTTTGTTACTGAACGATCCTTGACCGTTCGGTTTTATAGTGAATTTGGTTAGTAGTGGATTCTTTCATTTGGGAAGAATCCTAGTTGAGGACAAGCGTCTACACTTCGAACTTCTGTGCTTGAGCCTTCGACCAAGCATAGTTCTCTCTTGATATCCTGCTGTGAAATATTTTAGTTATTCTTAAATACTACTTCAATAGTATCTTGGCATAATAATCCAGTTTCTTTTGTATCCGTTAGTAGCACCCGGTCTTACACCAAATATTCACCCTAAGCAAGTGTTTGGTCTCACACCTGGCACTTGTCCTATCTCCTTAAGCTAAATTTCCTTATATGAGCGTTCGTTCAAGCAAGTGTTTGTAAGCTACTAAGATATGTGAACACGATAAAAGAATTTTTTGAAACTTCCCACTATCACACCACTGTTCATCTAACCTGAAGATAAAATTTTCTAGAGTACATATTCTCTTGGGTTTACAATCTCCTCCACTTTGAATCTTATTGTATTTCTATCTAATTGAACCACCTTGTAGGTGTCTGATTTTGAATTAAAATCATGATAGACCTTGGTGGTATTTTCATAATAGACATGCCCAACACTTAACATTACATTTATGTGTTTTTCTCTTTTTGTGAAAAAAAGAATTGCATTTGGTGTGTGTGGTCAATACTATTGAGGAGATTAGTAAATTTATTGTCTTCTTGAGGACTCAGTTGATTGCTTGATTGCTTGAACCAAATTAGTTGTTAGGTCACCCATATCCTAACTTGATCATATGCAAGTGTCTACTGTTGTCTTGTAATTTGGCTAATCCAAACTACTACTTCCATATTGGCTTCCCTAAATATTGTAGTAATAGTTAAATTGTGGCTTAATCATCAAGTATGATGCAAATATAATTAAAAAAATATTACTGATTAAATTTGACAAAGAATAATGAACATGTCATATAATTGAATAAAATTGTATAAATTTAAATGCTTACCCATATTGACAAGGTCTTTCTTCAAAGTTATATTCCTAAGCTTTCAAGTGAAATTTTGTGTAATGTGTCGAATGCAATGCACATACATACAATTTCCTTAAGTCTAGTCACTCATTGGTCTATTGAATGATACACTTATGGAGCTATTGCGATCCAAAATTGAGCACATGTTTTGTTGAAGTGTAACATGTCTTCTAATGTTTTTTAGGAATAAATAAATAAATTTTTGTTGTTTCAGCCTCAACTATAGAAAAAGCAATAAGGAGTATGTTGTTTCTCCTATCTTGTGTTACAATCACTAGAAAAGTGCTCGTGAACTTTTCGTGTCCACTTGCACCAATGATTTGCAACGGGAAAATCCATTAACACATGGTTAGAAGGTCCAAAAAAGTCTTTTGAAAGTTTTGAGTTTGTACACAAACCTAGGAACAAAAGTTTGCATTGCTTGAAATTGCCATGACAATTTGTTGAATGATTCTTCTCAGGTTTCATACACATGTTCAATTGTTTGTTAATTCGTCAAGCAAGCCTTTGTGTACAATGTAGTATAGCCCATTGAAGGTCTCGATGGAAGCAATGATTGTTGCAATTGGTGTGAATGAATCATATTTGACCATCTCAAAAATGTGTTGAGAAATGATTTGTGATCCCAGCTTGTTATGATCTTTTGTAATGAGTTGTGTGGCACATGTATGAGCACCTTTAATTCTTCTTATTTCTCATACATGATCTCTTATACGAAAGATGACTTGACACTTCCATAGACACTACTGGTGGACACATTGCACCATCAACCTTGTTGTGTTGGAGATTGTGATTTTGTATGTGCAATGGTTTGTGATGTGAAATGTGTTTAGAGCATTTATAACTTGTTCCTTTGGTTGGAATCTCATTCCCTAGGTCAATGTATTAGGTGTATGCTCGAATTTCTCATGAAAAATCAAATGGTGGTCATATACATGAGGATATTCTTAGTGTAGATGTTGGGGAAATTCTTGATAAGACTGCAAGTGTTGGGACATATTGTATGGAAGAGATATATGAGGTTGTTGTTGTTGTATTAGAGGGTTCTAAGTTTTCTTCAGCATCATTTTGTATATTGGCTTAGGATTTCATCCTCATCCTTACTAGATGGGTCTAATAACAATGAAGGTAAGCCTTATGTTTCACTTTTTGGTACAACAGGAGGGGACAAGGGTTTTATGTTGTCGTGTGCAAAATATTGGAAAAGTTGTGAGGTCAATGGACTAATTAAGAGTTTGGTGTATGATTATATGTCATTTTTCCATCCTCTATATATGTGGTTTTAAGGTCAAATGATTGAAACATGCGTTGGGTTTGTGAGGGTAGTTGATATTCGTAAGAAAGAGTAAATAATTGGGTTAGGAAGATGAAAAACATGTGGTGTAGGTCGAGCAAATTGCTAGGCATCTTGGGTTGGCCTTTATGATGTTGATGGCTTCTTCCAAGTCATCATCATCTTGAATATGAGTCGTTGTGAAAGTCACGTATCTACCAAAAATCTGTGTTGAACATCTAAATTAGAGGATTGAAAGTGGAGGTGGATGGGTTGTTTCTCTCTTCGCCTTCTGCAGTAGCTTAAATTAACTACGACAATGGAAAACCTCTATGCAAATTATGATTTTGTTGACAAACCTAAACAAAACACCGCTTTCATGATAGTAATCATGTCACTATTGTCTTAGATGCACGCATATATGAAAGGAGCCATTTGAAGTTGAGGTAGAAGAAGATTGGTCGATGATTGAATTTTTGCAAAGTGGTAGGAAAGAAAAAATTTCAATATTTGTGTTTTGAAATTGGTGGGCGAAAAGTTAAGTCACCATGGCTTCGAGATTAGTTTAGGTGATCATGTGACTTGCACATTACCTTAGATGATCATGTAATTGATACAGCCACTTAGGTGATCATGTAACTTGCACATTAGATTAAATAAATGGTAAAAGATAAGTGGTGTGAAATATTAAATGAAATTAGATACATGTTACATATGAGAACAAGAATCATAACATAAAGTGCATGACATTTTTGGAAATCAAAGTACATCATTCTCAATATATAAGTTTAGTGATCAAAGTACATTATTCTCAATATATAAGTTTAGTGATCAAAGTACATTATTCTCAATATATAAGTTTAGTGATCAAAGTACATCATTCTCAATATATAAGTTTAGTGACAAATTAAAGTTATTAAACAAATTATAACAAAGTTCATAAGAGTTGTTTTTCGATAAATTGTTGTAATAAATGTCATTATATCAACATGAACTTCTATAACTTTTTTTTTTTTGTTTTAGTGTTGACACGTTGAATTGGTTGATGATTACTTGTTTCACTTCGAGGATAGTCATTATATTTGTTATGGTCACCAAACCATTTGAGAGTTAATGTATGTTTCAGAGTAGTTAGTTTTCTTATGTGAACATAGTGCCCATTAAAATATACCAACACATTTAACGTTCTAGATGTCATGACTGATTTCAGTAATGTGTCACTAAGTTGATTAAATTGTTCGAACAACCTATTTATAGGGTCAAATATTCACTGTACCATCAACAATGACAACTAGATGTTGAAATTGTAAATATGGACATGAACACATATATACTAAAACTACTTTACAACTAGGTATAAGTAATTCCTTTACTTTTTTTTTCTACATATCTATTAACAACTAACATTTTCAATATTTAAATAATAATTCCAAAATATAATTTTATAAAATCGTTCTTATTAATAATTTTCAAAAAATTAAATTATTAAAGAATCAAACAAATCACACAAATAAAAAAAATAAAACCATACCAAAAAATTTAACCACATAACTTAATACAATCAAAATATATTAATACACTGATCCTACTAAATATTAAACTTTTGAACAATAAAATAATAATTAACTTAAATTATTAAATAACAGTAATACATTGATTTACGAATTCTAGTAATATTCCGGCCACCATTAACCAAATATTGAAGGTCAGAATTTGACTATCCGAATAACAAATTCTGACAGTAAAAATAAAAACTGTGCTATGCAAGCAAATATGGAGGAGTATGCTAGGAAAATAAAATATGTAACTGTGCTACTCAAACAAAACAAAACAAAAAATCCTCAACCAGAGGTATTGCATCTTTTCCCGCTCAATGTGACTTTTCTAAATCCATTTTCTATTTCTATGCTAAAAACATCATAAACCAGCACCAGTCAGTGTTGTTTCTCAGTTATGAAATGGAAGAACCCGTGAAGGAACACCAAACAAATCACTTATTTAAACAATGGATCCCATTTCACTCCCTATCTCTATATCTCTTTCACTCTTTATCTTCACCCAAAACCCTTCTCCAAAATATTTTATCCATAATCCTCTTTTTATACCCTATAAACTCGCATAATCAAATATGTATAGGAATAACCAAAACCGATAAACGCACAATAAGAGTGCAATTACAACTACCACTGGAAAACCAATTCATATCACCGAAAATCTCAGAACCCAAACCAATACCAATTTCAAACACAAAAAATGTCTTGCAATTCTATAATGTACGATTTTAAAAATCTCACCTTTAGGACAATCACAACACCGTCTTTGACCTTCATAGGAGAAGCATTAGCGCCACCACGTGCTCAACCTCCTCAGCAGCGGGTTTGAGCTTCTCAAATTTATAGTTGCTCATGCTTCACGATGTCGAAGGACTGAATTGACGGAGAAGGAGGGAAGAAATTTTAGGGCTGTTGTTTCTACGAGAAAGGGGGAAAGTTAACTAACAAAATTGATTTTTGGATTTCATTTTAGAGGAGAAAAAGATAGAAAAATAAAAAGGAAATAAAAAACAATTATGTATGATAAAATTATAAAATTTACTTATATTTAATTAAAAAAAAGTGAATACACATTTCACTGTTTCACAATAAAAATATTACCTATAATAGAATTACTGAAATTATTTATTTATAGACTTATTTTTTCATAAAATTGAATAAAAGGTTACGTTGGTAATTATAATAAATTTTCTTTTTACTTTTTGTTATCGTAATAAAAAAAGTGGAGATACACGTGTTCTCACCAATATGTATAAAAAGAACAATTCTTTAATTATTAGAACATCTTCAATCGGCCCTTGTGTTATATAACTAGAAATAAACTTTAAAAGACTTTATCTTACTACATTTTTAAAATTGTTATTATTCATTTTCTTAAAAAAATCATCCTTATAATTATTTCACTCTAATATGTGAGTGAATTAAAACCAGGTATGGATAAAAAGGAACTTAGGGTTCATTTTCAAACCAAGAGATTATGGTGCTTCTTTATGTTCCGTTGGTTGTTATATACTCAAATGTGCTTACATGTAGAAAATTGTTGGTGTAGAAAATTACTCAAATATACTTAAATGTGCTTACATGTTGCATTGGTTGCAAAAGTTATTAAGTTGGTATAGAAGATTGTTTAAGAATTCTATTATGTTTTACCCTCTAATGCTAAGAATAAATGTTGTTATAAAATTTACATTGGTAAATTTAAGGTTCATTTGCACTTGCTTCAAATTTTAGATCTTCTACATGTAATTGTATAAACTTTTTTTTCTCTCATCACATATCGTTTTGATGTTCAACTTTCCTTAGTTTGCAAAGAAAAAAAATTGAATCTTAGATATTTAAAAATTTAACATTTGTGTTTAAATAAATGAGGATATTTTCATTTTGTTGTATAATTTAGCTGTGACTTTATTCTGGTTGGCTTTTATGTACAAATAAAACTCCTCACCACAAAGTACCTTCCTTCAACGAGTGTTTTTTAAATAGTCAATTCTAAAAATATAATTGGAATAGGGAAAATGTTTATTTTTAAAAGTAGACAAATTAGACAAACGTATAAAAATATATGTTTAATTTATTAAAGTAAGACTAAAATATATTTTTAGTATGAGAATTATTATTTAATTTTGTTTTATCAATCTTTAAATAATATATGTACTTTTAATTTTTTTATCAAATTTAATTTAAGGTTGTTCTTGCCAAACGAAATATATTATGTAAAGTCTTCTTTCATGTTGACTTTAACTACTTGGTACCCGTCATCTAAGCCTTTTTTTTTTCTACCTAATTGAAAGATGTCTGCAAAAGATTTTTCGAATGTTCAAGTTGGAGATTCTGATCAAATTTTAAATTAATGTGAAAAATGAAGTTAAATCATGATTAAAATATTATTTATAGAAATAGTTTGCCGACCATGAGCCCTTATTTGATTGAGCCTCAATCATGGGTCTATTGGTTCACAAACACAATGGTCAGTTTACTTGTAAAAAGTTACCCATGTTCTCTTCTAGTTAAGTTACATAGCGTGAAAATATCCTCGACAAGCATATCAAGGCATCAGTACGTGGTACTTGGCTCAGTGAGTAACATGATTGTCAAAATGATTCATACCTTTGTGTGGAGACATAATATTTAGTATTCGACATTTTAGTGTTTGGTTCTTGGCACTTGGTCAAGTGATTCATCCTTCATAATATTTGATATTTAATAGTTTTAAGGTTTAATTGCTTCCTTTGTCCCAGTTTGGTTGAATTGTGTCAAATTCATCCTCATTTTTAAAAAAGTTTCATTGTCGTCCTCACATGGTGTAAAAGTTTCATTGTCGTCCTCACGTGGTGTAAAAGTGTCAATTGAATCCAAACATAGAAAAAATTTGTGTCAAAGTAGTCATTTTTCCTATATCTCTGTGTCTTCCTTTCATACAATCAAGTACAGATATTCATTTTACCTTATCCAATTTAAGGCTTTTCATAGCTCCAGAGAAGTGACATATGAAAGGAAGACACAGATATATAGGAAAAATGACTACTTTGACACAAATTTTTTCTATGTTTGGATTCAATTGACACTTTTATACCACGTGAGGACGACAATGAAACTTTTTTAAAAATGAGGATGAATTTGACACAATTCAACCAAACTGGGGACAAAGGAAGCAATTAAACCTAGTTTTAACCTGATATACAACACCTAATTAAGTTTTTGATAGATAGTAATATCTCATTTGCTTTGAATTCAATTAAAGACTATAAATAACATGGCGGAAGGGTCTTCAATCACCTACAATAAATAATATATTTAAATATTTAAATTTCTAAATTTCAGATATTATATATTTTTAATAAGTACATAGAATTGTGATTTTAAAAATAATATCATTTACTTAAATAAAAATAGTATTATATTACTTGTATTAAATAAAAATAGTATTATTTTTAATCGACGTTTTCTATACTTACTTTATTATTTAGTTGATCTTATTTATATTAAAATATTAAAGAAGGATTAGTATACGTGGAAGATGAGTTGGATAATTAATAGCATATAAAGTTGAAAGGAAAGAAGTGAATAATGAAACGGTAGAAGAAGAGGAAAAGGAAAGTGTTCGCATTCTTTGCTTCAATTTTCGGGTGATTATAGTGGTTACCTTAGTGGACCAAGCTAGAAAATCTAGTGCTCGTAGTTGGATTATAAATTAAATATTTCTATTATATACATTCATATAAAAAAATGATAAAATTTGTGTAATCTATTATTTAACATAAGTAGTAGGCAATTCCGTACAAAATACTACGTTTTCAAGGATAACATAATATCAAGAAATATCAATAATATTTTAGAGAATTATTTCAAAAGTAATTAAACACTTTTATATATAAGATCTTTAGTAAAATATGATTTTTTTATGTACCTTTCGCCATGTCGTAATTTTAAAAACATCATTTTAGTTTATCCTTATCAAAAGTTTTCAATTTTTAGAATAAAAATTGCCATCATAATTTCTTACTTTGAAAATGACTCAGATTGACGTTCTAATAGAAAAAGATTATTTAGTTAAATGTATGACGAAACAATATTTCACCAAAATACTATGTTTATTTATAAACGATTAACTCATTCATTAACCGTTTTCTCCACACTAATTTCAATAGCTTTTTATTAAAAAAATAAATGCAAAATAATTTTCTCAAAATTTTAATTAAACAATGAAGTGACACTTAAATGATTTACACTTATATTGACAAGTTTATTAAAAAAAAAGGAATTTTTTTGTGGGTTATGATTTGAATATTTAAATATCTTCTCTTACCCTGTATTAATTGTCATCTATTCCAATAACTTCTTCTGGTCAATATATCAATAATCATATACTTTATCTACAATACTAACCATTGAAGAAATAACCTATCACTGAATTAACATAACATCTCTCATGAATTAAAACTAGCCCAATATGAAGTTCTCAAACCTGTTCAATTCCTACACAGATAAAAGCAAAATTACATGAACTGTAAAATAAGCCATAGCAGGTTATCAACTACACCTAAACAAGTTTCATAAATAAATTTTTAAAATAAGGTATGCCTACAACATAACAGTATTTAGAAATAACTAGCCTTTTTGCAAAGTCATACATTTACTACTGCCTTTGATTTTCCAGTCAACAATAGCTATCGATAGCATAAGATTCAGCAAAAAACCATACAGAAAGCATACATAACAGCAGCAGAAATATTGTCACTTTGATTATTCTTCACACATCTATTATACTATACCTTGACTAGTAAGTTCTGCAGAAATCACCCCAATAGAACACCAGATTAAGAGGTTACAACTTACAGCATATCAATCATCATCTAGGTGAGAGATCCTTAGCAAATTGGTGTCATGAACAGTGCAAGATCTGGTACATGAGAAAAAGGACATGCTCTTCCTTACCCTTGACTGGATTCCATCTTTGATAAACTTTTTGTTCACCTTGGCACTTTTCTGATTCTTGGTGCACTCTTTGAAAGCTGCTAGAAAAGGGTCTTTGTCCTGAACCCAGAGACCCCTTTTGGAGGAAGTTCTGTAAAAAGGAGGCTGAAAAGCACAAGGAGGAAGTGGAATTTGGAAATTATGAACATGGTTTTTGAGAGTGGCTTCTTCTGGTGTACAAGGAGGGGGTGGCAGCTTGGCCAAAAACTCTTGCTCTTTTGGGATGAGAGTTTCAGCGGGAGGAGTACTTGTTACTTTGGAGACACCAGGCTCATTTTCCCATGAGAATGCTACCTTTCTCGCTGAATGATCCTTTGGTTGACTCATTCTCTCAGTTTTTGGTAATGGAATAATGACAAGACCCTTATACTTATGTGTGGCTTGAGGACCTGAGGTGGTGGTGGAAGTGTTATTCTATGATTATGCCATCATAATTTATATATAGATTTTTTTGGTCCACTTCCATCACAGTGTGTCTGATGGCACATTCTCAATGGACATTGGACAAGCACATAAAACGTAAGCATAGACAATTTTAGTTTTGTGGCTTGAAATTAACTTGGAAAATGATGACACATGAGTTGGGCAAAGAAGACCAAGTTCACACGGGTTTTACATCACTCAGAAGAAGACAATAGCAAGGAGATACAAGAGTATAAGACAAACCTATGATGGTTGACTTGTTCCTCCTCTGTCCTCACCCCCACTTATAATATGTACTAGATTAGCTCAAAACATTGCTTTCAAAAAGCATCAAATTGCACAAGCTAGACCAATGAGTGTGTAGCTTAGCAGACGCAAAACTCATCCAATTAATCAATGATTTCAACTTAAAATCGTGGTTATACAGTTGCATCACTCACAAGCTTATGTATCTTGAACAAAACTGTCTCTATAAAATATACTATGTGCATGCTGTCAGAAGCAAAT